AAAAATGGATTGAACTATTGAGCCTAGAATCTATTAGATTGAGCCAGTGAGCCCAGGATCTAAAAAATAGATTGAACCGTTGAGCTGAGAATTTGTCAAATAGTTAGTCTGGCTGAAAAAAGACAAAAGTCCATCCAATTCAACCATAAAAAAAAGTTATAATCCTATACCCACAGTTGATCCAGAGGAAGGCAAAAAAAAAACAGCAAAGCATGATCCAATTTGCTCCTGCAGGGGAAAAAATCCTTCCTGATCCCCCGAGAGGCAATTGGATATTCCCTGGATCAACTTTACTTATAAATGTTAGTATCCAGTTATATTTTGTGTATCTAGGAAAGAATCCAGGCCTTTTTTGAAGCAATCCACTGAGCTGGCCAGAACCAACTCTTGAGGGAGTCTATGCCACATTTTCACAGCTCTCACTGTGAAGAAACCTTTCTGTGTTTGGAGATTAAATTTCTTTTCCTCCAGATGTAAAGAGTGCCCCCTTTTCACCCTGTGTGTCTGTGACAGCTTGCAGCTTCACAGCTGGGTGCCCATCGCGCATGCGCGAGCCGTACTGTGCACTGTGAATGATCCAGCAGTCTTCTGGGACCTGTTACATGTCCCAGAAGGCTGTGGGAGAGGGAGGGAAAGGAGAACTTCCGATTGCCTAAGAGGTCGGAGTGGGAGTACCTGTCAAAATCTGGTACCAGACCCCCCCCCCTCCACAAAAAGCTCCATTTCACTGACAGGAGCTGGGGAGGAGGCCTTATAGCGGAACTTCCCCTTTTGGGTGGAGCTCCACTTTAATTCTTTACCACTTCAGTGTTTATATTAGGCAGCATAGTAGGCTAAAGTACCCAAGGTCTCATGTAGATTTGTTGACCTTTTGTTCAAATCATGCTTTAATGGGAAGTCTGCAAATTTCAGTATTTTTTCCATGGAGATGACTTGTGAGGCTTACATACAGTGCCTTGAAAAAGTATTCATACCCCTTGAAATTTTCCACATTTTTTGTGAAGTGGAGGAAAATGATAAATGGTTTTCAAAATTTCTTATATATAAATATTGGAAAAGTGTGGCGTGCTTTTGTATTCAGCTCCCTTTATGCTGAAACTACTAACTAAAATAAAGTGGAAACAGTTGCCTTCAGAAGTCACCTAATTAGTGCATTAGTGTGTAATTTAATATCAGTATTAAATACAGCTGTTCTGTGAAGCCCTCAGAGGTTTGTTAGAGAACATTAATGAACAAACCACATCATGAAGGCAATGGAACACACTAAACAGGTCAGGGATAAAGTTGTGGAGAAGTTTAAAGCAGGGTTAGGTTATAAAAAAAATACTCCGAGTTTTGAAAATTTCACAGAGCACTGTTCAATCCATCATCTGAAAAAAGAGCGTGTGGCACAAATGCAAACTTAGCAAGACATGGCCGTCCACCTAAATTGACAGGCCGGGCAAGGAGAGCATTAATCAGAGAAGCAGCCAAGAGGCCCATGGTAACTCTGGAGGAGCTGCAGAGATCCACAGCTCTGGTGGGAGAATCTGTCCACAGGACAACTATTAGTCATACACTCCACAAATCTGGCCTTTATGGAAGAGTGGCAAGGAGAAAACCATTGTTGAAAGAAAACCATAAGAAGTCCTGTTTGCAGTTTGTGAGAAGCCATGTGGGGGACACAGCAAACATGTGGAAGAAGGTGCGCTGGTCAGATGAGACCAAAATTGAACTTTTTGGCCTAAAAGCAAAAATCTATGTGAGGCAGAAAACTAACATTGCACATCGCCCTGAACACACCATCCCCACCGTGAAACATGGTGGTGGCAGCATCATGTTTCGGGGATGCTTTTTTCTTCAGCAGGGACAGGGAAGCTGGTCAGAGTTGATGGGAAGATGGATGGAGCCAAATACAGGGCAATCTTAGAAGAAATCCTGTTAGAGTCTGCAAAAGACGAGACTGGGGCGGAGAGATTCACCTTCCAGCACGACAACAACCCTAAACATACAGCCAGAGCTACAATGTCATGTTTGGATCAAAGCATATTCATGTGTTAGAATGGCCCACTCAAAGTCCAGACCTAAATCCAACTGAGAATCTGGCAAGACTTCAAAATTGCTGTTCACAGACGCTCTCCATCTAATCTGACAGAGCTTGATCTATTTTGCAAAGAATGGGCAAAAAAAATGTCACTCTGTAGATGTGCAAAGCTGGTGGAGACATCCCCAAAAAGACTTGCAGCTGTAATTGCAGCGAATGCTGGTTCTATAAAGTATTGACTCGGGGGCTGAATACAAAAATTACACACAGGTGGACTCTATTTACTAATTTAGGTAACATCTGAGGGCAATTGGTTCCACTAGATTTTAGTTAGGGGTATCAGAGTAAAGGGGGCTGAATACAAATGCACACCACAATTATCAAATATTTATTTGTAACAAAATTTTGAAAATCCTTTTCCTTCCACTTCACAATTATGTGCCACTTTGTGTTGTCTATCACATAAAATCCCAAAAAAATACATTTATGTTTTTGGTTGTCAAATGACAAAATGTGGAAATTGCAAGGGGTATGAATACTTTTTCAAGGCACTGTATCTTGGGCTGTTTGTGTCTAGCTGTGAGGGGAAATTTCATACAGTATGTTGTAAAACAACAGTAAATATCTGGCAGAGGATCTATCCTTTCCTCACACTCCAAAACTAACAGACTGCCATCCAAATAATATTTATATTCAAATAATAATGTTTTTATTTGTGACCACTAGATATAGCATTGGCATTGATCAGTTTAGCAAGCAAGCTTGTCATCTGATATACGGTAGGATTGTTTATATGGGCATTTTCCTTGTCATTTAGAAACACACTTTTAGAGGCATGTATTATGTTTCTGTACATCTTTTATTCTCCCATACCTGTGTTTGGTGTAAGGAAGTCTTTGATTGTAAGGCTCACACAGGCTTAAAAAGTGCTGCTCCAAGAAGAGTTTAGTGTTTTGCCTGTAGAAGCAACTAATGTTATCCTATGTTTCCATGCACATTAGGTACTCTAGAGACGTTTCTTAACCCCTTCACGCCAGATCATCCCGGCGTGAAGAGGAGCTCCTGCACCGGGAGGTGGACGGGGCGGGGGCTTAGTGTCGTCACAACCGGTCACATGATTGGGAAAGGTTCCGATCGAAAGAGCAGACCGGGACCTTTCCGTGAGTACCTCACATGTGTGCTGGGAGCGCACATGGCGTGCGCTCTCAGCACATATGTTTTTTTGTTAATTAACAAAAATGTGCGGACGCTCGGCGTCTATGCCCAGACGCTGCACATTTGCGTCCAGCCAGCGTGAAGGGGTTAAACTCAGCATTTAGAGCAGGGCTTAACAAATCCCAGGTCGCCACGGCGACTAGAAATTGCATCCTGGCACCTGGTTTCACACACTGCCAATGGGAAAACACCTCCCATATACTTCAACGGAAAAATTCATGTCAATAGCAATCCTATGTGAGCACTTATTTCCACATGCCACTCCAATCTCACTTGCAAGTCTGGAACACATCACTACACACAGGACCCTTTTCATAATGGCACTCAAAATACGTGTATGGATTGCATCTGTGTGAACCACCTCAATAGGAACACAATATCTAGCCTGCCATGCGAATCTGTGAATTTCAAAATTCAATGGCGCCTAAAACGTGGTTCAGCTTTGCCGTGATTATGTGGCAAATCGCATGAAGTCCCAGGTGCTGACAACCCACACTATGCTAAAAGAAAAAATGGCTCCTAACCTTTTTAGCTGGCTCCTAGATTTAAAGGAAATATGTCAAGTCCTGGTTTAGAAGCAGAAAAAAACTCTTCTGTTTTGGGTTTGTGAGAACGCTTTGCTGGCAGAAAAAATTGCTAAACACTCTTAAACGCTAGTACAAAAAAACACTCAAAATTAGCAAACTTTTTGCCAAGAGCAGGTTTTTTTTTAAATTTGCATGCATGGTGCCTAAATGCATCTTTTTAGTCCTTTTTAAATTCTGCAGATCTTTGAACTTCTTTATATAATTTGCTGAAATCTGCAGGAAAAACCCTTGCAGTCTTCCTGTTATCTTTTGATTTAGCAGTTTTGTGCACTGTATTTCAGAAGCATGACTTGGTTGAACAGCTCAGGAATAATCCAGTCCTTGCTCATACTGACATATGGCACAGTAGTACATTTTATTCTCAAACAGAAACCAGTTATAATGAGATTAGAGAAACTCCCAGGCATCTGATACAATTTTGTGTTTCAGTATTTTTTTTTTTTTAATTTTCAACTATATTAAAAGAATATATAAAAAAGAAGCAAAGTGATTCATTTACAAGAGGTGTGCTCACCGACAATAGGGATATTCACAGTGCAGGCTTTTATGATGGTGCAGACAGAAACAACCGAGTACTGACGTGATACTTTTTTTATTTGCATTAACATACAATTTTCAGGACAAGCTTTTGGGGTATGTCCCCTTCTTCAAGGTCCAGGCAGTACTACTACACAAAGTATGTTAAAAGAGATGTTGAAAGGAGGAGAAAAAAAAAACCAGACACACACAAATGTACACAGCAATGGTTATAAAACTAGGATTAGACTAGAGATGAGACACAGCAAAAGCGAAGACTGGGGGGGGGGGGGGGGGGTAGTACTTCCTGGACCTTGAAGAAGGGGACATACTCCAAAAGCTTTTCCTAAAAATTGTGTTCGTGCAAATAAAAAAAAGTATCACGTAAGTACTCAATTGTTTCTGTCGCATGTGCACTAATACGGCTACAATCACCTCAAGTATGATGGTGCAGAAAAATACATTCAAAAAGGGTAGAAGCCTTGTTGGGTATAACAGTGCTTCTAGGTGTGCATCAGTGGAGTTCTCCCCTGTGTGTATTTCATGTCCTGACACCTACGCTGTATTTCCAAAAGTATTGGGACACCCCTCCAAATTCTTGGATTCAGTTGTTCCAATCACCTCCATGGTCACAGGTGTATAAAATCAAGCACCTAGGCATGCAGGCTGCTTTTACAAACATTTGTGAGAGAATGTGTCCCTCTCAGGAGCTCAGGGAATTCAAGCGTGGTACTGTGGTAGGTTGCCACATGTGCAATAAGTCCATCCATGAAATTTCTTTGCTACTCAATATTCCACGATCAGCTGTTAGAGGTATTATAACAAAATGGAAGCAACTGGGAACAACAGCAACTCAACCACAAAGTGGTTCGCCATGTAAAAAGACAGAGCACGGTCAGTGCATGTTGAAGCGTGCAGAAGTCGCCAACTGTCTGCAGAGTCAATAGCTAAAGATCTCCCAACTTCGTGTGGCCTTCAGATTAGAACAAAAGTGTGTAGAGAGCTTCATGGAATGGGTTTCCATGGCCGAGCAGCTGCATCCCAGCCTTACATCACCAAGTGAAATGCAAAGCGTCGGATGCAGAGGTGTAAAGCTCGGCGCCATTGGACTCTAGAGCATGGAGAAATGTTCTCTGGACTGACCAATCACTCTTCTCTATCTGGTAATTTGATGGACTTGTCTGGGTTTGGTGGTTGCTAGAACGGTACTTGCCTGACGGCATTGTGTAAAGTTTGGTGGAGGGGGGGATTATGGTGTGGGATAGTTGTTCATGGGTTGGGCTTGGCCCCTTCGTTCCAATGAAGGGAACTCTTAAGGCAGGGGTGTCAAACTGGCAGCCCTCCAGCTGTTCCATCATGCCTCTGCTTTTGGGATTCATGCTTGTAACTGTCAGTCTTGCAGTGCCTCATGTGACTTATAGTTTGGCAACAGCTGGAGGGCTGCCAGTTTGACACCCATGTCTTAAGGCGTCAGCATGCCAAGACATTTCGGACAATTTTATGCTCCCGACTTTGTGGCAACAATTTGGGGATGGCCCCTTCCTTTTCCAACATGATTGCACGCCAGTACACAAAGCAAGGTCCATAAAGATATGGATGAGCGAGTTTGGAATGGAGGAACTTGGCTGGCCTACACAGAGTCCTGACCTCCTCAACCCGATAGAACACCTTTGGGATGAATTAGAGCGGAGACTGTGAGCCAGGCCTTCTCGTCCAACATCAGTGCCTGACCTCACAAATGCACTTCTGGAAGAAAGGTCAAACATTCCTGTAGACACACTCCTAAACCTTGTGGACAGCCTTCACAGAAGAGTTGAAGCTGTTATAGCTGCAAAGAGTGGGGCAACTCAATATTGAACCCTACGGACGAAGACTGGGATGCCATTAAAGTTCATGTGCGTGTAAAGGCAGGCATCCTAATACTTTTGACAATATAGTGTATAGTGACATACCCACTTTAACATGGGCTTACTGATGTAAATGGGTGAAGAGAAAGATTGAAAGGTGAGAAGAATAGTAACTGAAGAAGCTAGGTGGGGGAGAAGTTATGAAGGTAAAACTGAAAATGGGCAAAGTAGTAGGTGGGGAAGGACCCTGTAGTAGAATGACCCTCCAGACCCTAGTTGCTCATGTAAGCCAGCCATGGTTCGAATCTTGGCCGGTTCAGCAGGGACCGGCCGAGATCTGATCCATGTATGGGCAGGCTGATTGTACCCAAGTCACTCCATCAATCAACTTGGGTCCAATCAGCATTTCTGATTTCTAGCATATGATTGTCAGCAGCTATAGCCGTTAGCAATAATTACTGTTCTCCTGGCAGGGACAGCGCCCTCCCCCGCCAAAAATAGCTCTGCGGGAGAGATTCCCCCATCAACACTGTGTTAATGAGCTATTGAAACGATTTCTTTACTGCAACCCGTGAAAGAAAACTGCATCATCTATGGCCTGCCTTTAAATATTCTGGAGAAAACAAAGGAGAACAAACAAAGTAATTCAAGAAACAATAGATTATCCATGGTGTGCCTTTCTACAAGTTCTTCATTGTGTTTTTCAGCATGACTACCATTTTCTCATTTACTAGGTACCAGGCTGTTTTGATTTTGACCTGTGCTATCATTAGCTTAGACCACCATGACCTGAGAAAAGTTTAGTGGTCGTGAAAATGAACGTGAGTAGTTTAATTTGATATTTTAGCTTTGGGTTGTAAATTGAGGAGAGACTTGTAGGTGTTTCTCTGCCCAAGACAATGTAGATGAACTGGTAGACATCCAGAGCCTATTAACTCCAGGCAATTCCAACAAATGTGTGTTTTGTTTTTTTTTTTCCACACCCCTAAAGCATGGGCATGAGGTGTCAGGACAGTACGTGCCAGCCTCTGAAGGACCATATACCATCTTAATAATTTACTGATGGCTTCTATGAATGGTGAGAACATCTGACTGACCCATGGGCTTTAGTGCCCCAGATTCGGAGCCCTTGATTTCCTTTAGAGTTGTGAAGATAGATAATTTCCCCAGTTTACTGTGTTTGAGTGGGTGGTTATAGTGTGACTCCTCAGAGGAGGAGAATATTCAGGACACTGTTCCCTTTCCAAGTTGTGTGTTAAGACATTGGTGTTCAAAATGTGTCAGGAAAGGCGCAAAGTGGTGTGTATGAGAGTGCTTCGTATATAATTTTTGATCTGCAAGTATCACAAAAGTTCTAAGCCAAGAGCTTTACGAAGAGAAGGACAAAACACCATTCATTGTCAAATTTGTGATCCAGCTAAAGCAGGGGTCTTCAAACTTTTGAAACAAAGGGTCACTTTACTACCCTTCAAACTTTAGGGGGGGCAGATTGTGGTCAGTGGGAGTAGAAACTGCCTTGTCATCATTTGGAGTAGATAATGCCATAGGCTTGGTGGTTAGTGGGAGTAAAAAAAAAAAAACAATATTGATTGGTGTCAGTGAGAGGAATATTGCCCCATAATTGGTGTCAGTGGGAGAATTGGATCCCCATCTCTGGAATTAGTGGAAGGAATAGTGCCCAATTGTTAGTATCAGTGGGATGAAATGTGCCCTGTCTTTGGTGTCAGTGGAAGGAATAGTGCCACAAGGGCTGGATAAAAGCAAGCAAAGGTCACATCCAGCTCATGGCCACAGTTTAGAGACCCCTGATCTAAAGACTTCTTTGTGTTACCAGTTAAGATTCATCTTGAGGCTCAAAGCCTGGCAAAACGATGGATTATGTGAAATTGTGGCTGGGGAGTAAGGGGGAGAGTAGCATTTCTGAGTTACCCTTTAGGAAGTGTTTCCTTTGATTTTTAACTATGCAGGACAGTTTTTCCTACAGCTTAATGAATGATGCAAAGCTGTTCAGCTAATTATGTACACAAATTTAATTATTTTTAATGCTTTTGGATTTACTTAAAAAATGGTATTTCAATTTTCACTACATTTACTAAGCTATGTGAAAACTCCTTTGCAAAGTGAACACTCAAACCCCTTTAATAAATCAATCCCATAGTCTATGACGGTGGGACTTGCTTGATATCTCTCCAAACTAACCCACTGCGTGGTGTTGGAGGTTGTATGATAAACAGGCAATTTGGGCAGCTCAGTAGTACTGTAGGACTGTCAGGACACCCCTAAGTTTAGGTTGAAATAGCACTTTTTTTTTGGAGACCCTAGATCTTGAGTTATGCTATATGAATTTCAGAAAGTGGAGCTGAAGTGTGCAAAAGATGTGGGTAGCGATAGGCATTGGCAGGACCCTGAATCGGTGTAAGAGTAGAGAGCAGTGTTGTGTCATTTTTATGGCAACTATGCAGCCTACCCAGGAGATGTGAATCTGAATAGATGAGCATTTATGCTTACAAGACAAAAAAAAAAAAGTCTCTGTGAATGACTAATGTATACAGTGCAATCAACTTTCAATAAAGTAAAAAACAAGTTTTTTGTGCAGCAGTCTCTTTCACCTTCTTTATAAAAATTATAAACTCTCACCAGATGTTTTGACCATTTTTTTTAAATAATGGGTCACTTACAGCTTGATATAGTGATTGGCCTCCTGAAGTACTACACCTCCTCATCCAAATGAGTGCTCCTCAGTTCCTCCACTTATATATCCTCCAGAAGATTTGTTTTCAAAAAGAACATAAAAAAAAATTATAGTATCTCAAATAACAAACATATATAATTGTGTAAATTGTGCTCACATAAAATAATTTTCAACTAATGCCAAAATTGTAAGTGCAAAAATCCCAATAGTCACTGCAGATTCTCCTCCATGTGTCAGCAACCGCAGGCAGGTTTACCCAAACCAGAGTCTATGCCCTTCTAATTTCCAGGGCCAGATGATCACAGATCCCCAGACTTTTTTTTTTTTTTTCATCCACCAAAATGGGGAAACTCCAAAAAGGTATCTGAGTGCTTTTTTTTTTTCACACCACTCCAAAGTAGAACAAAAAGGGAGCTGAAAATCAAACTTACTCAATCTACGTCTGTAACCAAGTGTTCTGGTATCCCTTAATTTCTGAGTCATTTTAAAAATGCATGTAGAACTACTCTTCAATTGCACTCAAAATTCAGTCCATGTATGGCCAGCTTTAGACAACTCTGGCTTTTCTGGTGGGGAAAAGTAATACTCTATTCAGCAGGGTCCATCACTATTTCTACCAAGATCTATCAGTGGTGATGTCTAGTAAGAGTCCAAAGGTGACCTCAGAGAACAACTAAAGGGTTTTGTTTTTAAAAAGACAAATTTAAAGAGATGCTATCACCAAAACACTGACTTGTAAAAGCCCCCCTTGTGTAGATACCCAAAGGCTGAGATGGCTGTTGTGTACCGCCATCTTGGATGTGATGTCATCACCCCCAGCCGACTCAGAACTGTCATAGAAGTTTATGTTTATGAAGGGATGTGAATGGAGGGGTGGAGATTCTGGGCCACCACAAAAGAGTAATTAAACACTTGAAGAAGAGGGGAGGGCTATGACATGGCAGTAGGGAGAATATGTGTCTTTGCTAGAGAATGGACTCTTTCTGGAGTGGAGTGGTCAGTTTTTCTAGTATGTTGAAAGGCATATTGCAGCTGAATTCATTATTTATGGAGAAGAAAAATACTGCTGATTATGTAAAATACATGATTTTTCTGTGCTTTCATCTGCTATTTTTTTTCTTTTTTTTTCAGACATGATCAATTGTTACAGTCCAGGTTTAAAAAAAAAAAAAAAACTAAATTGTAACATCTAGGCAACCAGTTTCCATTGGCAACAAGACAAGAGTTTGAAAATAAATAGAAAGTACCAGTGCTAAATATAGTTTGATGATTTATTGTTAGCATCTTTTTTTGTTCATAGAAATTTGTAAAAACAAAAACGTATATAATCTACATGGGGATCAAAACAGAAGTCATCCCTTGCAGTAGATTCTAAAAGCTTCACCATTTTCTTTAAACATATTTACACTTTCATATAAACAATCACAGTTGTCAGTCATTTTCACTCCATAAGACAAGCCAATAATTTCTGGACTGGACAGTACTTAAGGTCATTATACCTTATTTAAGATCATTTAAAAAATCTTTAAACATGAAAACATGCAGTGCAGTCAGCACAACAAAAAAGTGGTAAACA